ACATATTTTTTGCCCCTTCCAGGTACTCTAAAAATAATTTCCTACAATACAAAGATGTCCATTGTCTTTTTTGTCTAAACTCAATAAAAACAAAATTATATTTCATCTCTACTGCCTTTTAAAGCCTGGAAAACCCAAACATGCAAGCAGCACAGCCAAAGATCTTTTTGCAAGTGGGTTGTTCTTAAAATCATCACAATACTCGCCTAGGTGGTTCTTTTCAAATGGTCACTTGACATCTCTGTGTGTCCTGTTTTAGCTCTGAGTAACTTAAGGAGAATATCTGTTAAGAATAGATATCTTTTATTAAATGATAGCTATCTTTTCTTAAAAGATCAAATTATCTTTTAATAAAAACCCTAAATAGTAACTCATCAATATGTGAGCATGAGTATTTGAAATAAACTAACCCAGAAGGAAATTAAATGATGACAATCAGTGTATGAGGCAATTACACTGAAGGAAAAGGCCAGGAACAGATTTTTCTGATCTTGTATATGCTCACTCACTGCACAAAATTAATCAAATTTTATTTGGAAATATTCTCTATATTCTGACATGTTCACTAAAATATAAGCTCTAGGGGGTGGGGGCTTATGTATTAGGTGTGTTCCTAGCACCTGAGATGAGTGGTACAGTGTTGTGAGCTACCCAGTATTTACTTGTTGAATAAATATCCCTATACTTTAGGCAGATGGGCATTTCCTTCTGTAAATGCCCGTCTACCTAAGTTAGAGACCTCTTCAGGTCTTTTCCAAACGTAAAAGTCAATGGTTTTACTATCTTAGGCCAAACTAATTTTCAGATTTTCTATGAAAAAGAGAAAATTGAACATGAGTTTTGGTAAACAGTAGGTGGGGAGTGGGACAGGAACCATCTAGAGTTCTGTATACATTCCTCTGAAGGAAATCTGAATTACAACATGGTGTCTTATGTAAAAAGGAAGAGTGTACAGTATGAGGAAGCATCTAGGCATCTCGTACAACTCCAACCTTACCATCCCACCTCCATCCCTAACTGCTCTCCACAAGCTTCCCTTCCTCCGTGAGGCCTCTCTTCCTTCTGGATGCCAATCTGTTCTCTTCCCAGGACTCCTTTTCCGTTATGAATAAGAACACTTAACTTCTCAATCCTCCCCACCTTACTCATCTCCAGACTCATTATCTGTTGAGAACGTGTCCTTAACACTGAGACATATATGGAGGCAGGCTTGCCTCTCTTACAGCCTCTTCCCTGAATCTTGTCCTTAAATTCTATTGAAGAAGGCCTCCGAATCTCTTATTCTATCCTTCCAGGCTTAGACATGTCGATGATCCAATCTCCTACTCGTCTTCTTTTATACAGAAGTCATACGAATCCTGTTTGGGCTGGTAAATAAATAGGTTATTGACATCATACAGGAAATTTTCAATCTAAGTACCCTTCTTATTTTATACAGGAATCAAACAACTACAGAAAATAAATGTTTTAGGGATCCCTGGGTGGCGCAGCGGTTTAGCGCCTGCCTTTGGCCCAGGCCGTGATCCTGGAGACCCCGAATCGAATCCCACGTCGGGCTCCCGGTGCATGGAGCCTGCTTCTCCCTCTGCCTGTGTCTCTGCCTCTCTCTCTCTCTCTCTCTCTCTCTCTGTGTGTGTGTGTGTGACTATCATAAATAAATAAAAAAGAAAGAAAATAAATGTTTTAAATAAATCGATATAATTTTTGTGCTTAGCAATGATACATATTTAAGCTGTTATCATGCAATAATAAGGCAAAATCCGATTAACATTTCAGCAATCTACAAAATTTCAAATTAAATGCTATTGAGTAGAATCATATGCTATAAACGGTGCTGGGAATTTCAGAATTTTTTTTTCTAGGGCAGAACTCACAGTGTGAGGCTATCGTATTTCTCTTTTCTATAATTAAGAAATGTGTCAATGAACTTTAAAAGTAAATTTACTAATAAGGTAAACAATCCAGCATTATCTCTCTCAACAAGACAATATTAGCCTTTAAGTCCCACCATAATGTGCAATAAGATATAATTCAATGCGTTCATTCTTTTTTTTTCCTGTTTATTCACTGCTGTATCCAAACACTGCCTATCAGTTAAGTGAGTGACTAAACAGATATGTACTTCCTATGCTCCAGGTACTCTGCTAGCCTCAGGAATGCAGCCACAAACATGACCCCGTTCTCATGGAAACTGCACTACAGAAGACACACTGAAATGAACAAAAATTATGTAATTATTCAATCACAATTACAATAAAAGCAATAAAGGGAAGCTACATATGAAAACAGAATCTTTTTATTTATTTATTTTTTGTACTGGAGTTCAATTTGCCAACATATAGCAAGCATATCACCCAGTGCTCATCCCATCAATGCCCCCCTCAGTGCCCATCACCCAGTCACCCCATCCCCCCACCCATCTCCCTTTCCACTACCCTTTGTTCATTTCCCAGAATTAGGAGTCTCTCATGTTCTGTCATCCTCACTGATATTGAAAATAGAATCTAACACTGCCTGAGGGGTAAAAAAAAAAAGACTTCAGAGGAACAGACAATTTAAGCTAGCACCTAAACAGGGGGTTTAGCAAAGGGAGCATGAAGAGGAAAACTCTTGCATGTGGATGAAATGATTTGTGTGAAAACCTGAAGAAGGGAGGGGCTACTGCCTCCCAAGAATTGAAAACAGATCAGTGGGAAAGATGAAGCTGGAATGAAAGACAGAGCTCAGACAATGCAGGACCTTGTAGACTGAAAAATTTTGGACTTCGCACCAAAAGCAGTGGAAACTAAGGAGTGATCATCATATTTGTATTTAAAACATATCGCTCTGGCTGCTGGGTACAGAATAGTTTAGAGGGAAACCAGAAGGAGGCAGGAAAACCAACTTGGGGGTAGAGGGAGGATAGAGCTTACAGGTGGAAGGTGATGCTGTCTTTGACTAGAGAAGTTACAGTGGGGAGGGACAAGTAGATTCAAGATCTACATGGCAGGTACACTCCTGAATAGGGTGATCAAGTATGGGAAATGAAAGAAAGAGAAATTCCAAGGGGGGTCCTAGGTTTCTAGGATGACTAACTAATCAGGTGGATGATAGCTCCTTTAATTATGATGGGGAACAATGGAGGTCAGTGATAGAATGGGAAATCCAAAGTTTGGATTGGGATATGTTCAAGAAGAGAGGTCCGCATTAGCCAAGTGATAGTGGAGCTCATCAGCAAGCTAGGGCAGGGATAAACATTTGGCAGCCTTTGGCCAGTAGATATGAAGCCATGGGAACAGATGAGGTTGCCCTGAGCAATAATGTTGAGTGAGAAGAGAAGATGACCTAGGACCGAGTCCACAAGAAGTCCTGATGTTGAAAGTGCACAAAGATGAGCCAATGGAGAAGAAAGAAAAGGAAAGTCTAGAGAAGTAACAAGACAGCAAACAGAGCATGATGACACGAAAGCTAAGGGAAGACGTGATTTCAAGGAGGGAGAGTTCTATCATTGAGACAGTTGATGAGCGGGGTGCCCAGGTGGCTCTGTCTCCATTAAGCCTCCCACTTGATTTTGGCTCAGGTCATGACCTCAGGGTCGTGAGATCAAGCCCCACATCCAGCTCCTCACTGGGCATGGAGCCTGTTTAAGATTCTCTCCTTCTGAGCCTCGGTGTCCATCGAAAGATGAATGGGTAAAGATGTGGTTTATGTATACATTGGAATATTACTCAGCCATTAGAAATGACAAATACCCGCCATTTGCTTTGACGTGGATGGAACTGGAGGGTATTATGCTGATTGAAATAAGTCAATCGGAGAAGGACAAACATTATATGGTCTCATTCATTTGGGGAATATAAAAAATAGTGAAAGGGAATAAAGGGGAAAGGAGAAAAATGAGTGGGAAATATCAGAAAGGGAGACAGAACATGAGAGACTCCTAACTCTCGGAAACAAACTAGGGGTGGTGGAAGGGGAGGTGGGTGGGGGGTGGGGGTAACTGGGTGGCGGGGGAGGGGGGCACTTGATGGGATGAGCAATTGGTGTTGTTCTCTATGTTGGCAAATTGAACACCAATAAAAAATATTTATTTAAAAAAAAAGATTCTCTCCTTCTCCCTCTGCCCTGCTGTCCCCCCTTCCCACTGCATGTGCACCCTCTCCCCCTGCCTCTCTCTCTAAGAAAAGGGGGAGGAAGGGAAAGAAATTGATAAGTAATAAAGAAAAATGAACTGAAAAGCATTTAAGACTTCAGAATGAGGTTCAGTACAGTGTGGGATGAAAGAAGCCGCTAGGCTAAGGTCAGAACAGCTGGAAATTATCTATAACGGGGAGACCAAATAAGGCAGAATCTAGAACAAGGTGAGAAGTCTAGGATTTTTTTTTATAAAAGGAAATAGACCAGAGAGAGGCCTGAATTATAGGTGACCTAAGAGAAGTTGTGCAAAGAAACTAACCCTAGAGTTTACACTTAATTCTTAGTAATTGCGTAGGAGTTTGTTGGGATTGTTCTCTACTGATTGTAGTATCTAGTAGAGAACTTCCTGTTGAGGAAGCAGAAATGAAGGCTTAGGAGTGGGCAGGTGGGAGAGGGAAAGTGGGGAAAGAATAAAAACCCTAGTGAGAAAACAGGGCTTCTGGAAACCTTCACTGGCTGCAGGTGGGCTCAGTCATGGTCATATGGGGAGAGCATACTGCACTTCCTGAGTTATAGTGTCTCCACAGCTTCATCAGTCCAGAGACCTAACCCCCAAGACAATGTCTATTGGCATCTTCCTGTTGGACATGTCACCCACCTATCCTGAGACAGTGGTGCATGCAACAGGGAGGTTGGAATGATACTAGGAAGGACCCAGGGGAGAAGGAGGGACTCAAGGATTAGGCATGACAGATGGAATGAGATCCCCGGGAAAGCAGAGGAGTGGATCCAGAATTCACCAGGACTGACTGACTTTCTAACGTCATGGAGGTTGGATGTGGGTAAAAATAAGTCTGTGGATACAATGGTGGAAAGTGGAAGGAATGCCAACCACCGTTTTCTTTGTGAGGCACAAAATCAGATGTTCCACTGAGAGCACAGAAAGGAACAGGGGTGCGAAGGTTAGAAGAGAGTGGAAGGAAGTATAAACTTTTTCACAGTGACTCAGCAGACAATGTAAATACAACAAGAGACACCCAGTTAGGCAGAGTCAGAGCAACCGTGAATTAATAGTGCTGCCGATTTGCCTGGTTTTGTGTGTTCCAAATCAGGGATTTGCCAAAGTTTTCCTAATTCCTTCACCTACAGGGAAGCCTGACTGGATCCCAGGATTGTAAATTCAAGCCCCAGATTGCAGGTGGAGCCTGAAAAAAAGAAAAAAATTAGAGGTGCTCCTAATTCAGCTGCATTTGATTTTATTTGAGCCTCTAAAGCATTTTGTCCATACTTTGAACCTGCTTTTACTACTTTATAATGTTTTATTTCCCTGCTAAAATATAAAACCCCAGAGTAAAGAGTGATGGTTTATTCATCTGTCTCCCTCAAAGCACCTACAACAGTTCTTTGCAAAAAGTACTTTATAGACATTTTTACGTTTAACTATTAAGTACATAAAATGATTCATTTAAAAATTTAGTTGTTTCAAGATCAAGTCTGCATAATCAAGAAATGGTAAAGACCCAGAAATTAAACTAAAAGCCACAGTCAACAAAATCTGTTAAAATACATCTAGTTCTATCATGAAGGGCAGATATTTTTTTATCATCCTCCTGCCTCAGAAACTAAAGAATGGTGGCTCAGAGAACAAATTCCACAGCATGAGAATAGGAAAATCAATACTGAATGAACACAATCATCACCTAAAGACATATCTTACTCAGTGATTTAGCTCAGCATGGAGTCTGATACCTTCTAGCAATCTGAGAAGACATACAGAACTTTCTTTCTGGACATCTACTACCATTATTAGAGTACTACAGTTTAATATGGTTGTACAGTTAATACAGTTATCATTATATAATTTAGTTACCAGTTTTAACTAATAAGATAAAGTTATTTTTCAAATCAGATTTCCTATACATGAACATTTAAAAAACAGTAATTACCAAGTTAAAAAGATTCCGCCAGGAAATGACCAAAAATACAGGCAACATTTATCTTCAGACAAAATACCCAATTGTGGAGGGCAACATTAACTATTTTAGTATCTTTTTAAACACTAAGCCTGTATTTCAACATGGACATGGTACTTCATATGCACTCACTTTTCACAATTCTTTCCTCAATTCAAATGTTTCAACCAAAACTTCAAGCATTTGAAATTGATTGTTGAGTAATAACTTAAGCTGACCTATTGGGAGAACACTAGTAGATGTCTTAATTTTTTGTGTCAACTTGACTGGCTAGGGATGCCCGGATTACATTATGTCTAGGTGTGTCTGAGAGGATGTTTCTGGACATGATCAGCATTTGCATCAGTGGGCTCAGCAAATTGTGCTCCTCAGTGTGGGTGGGCACCTTTTGGTCTGCTGAGAACCTGAATAGAACAAAAGGGAGATGAAAAAGGAATTGATCCTTTTCTCCTGCCTCATGGCTGAGCTGGACATTTCCTCTTCTCTTGCCTGCACACTGGGATTCATAGCATTGGTTCCTCTGGTTCTCAAGGCTTCAGGGTCAGACTGAACTATACTACAGGTCTTCCTGGGTCTCCAGCCTGCATGGCAGATTGTGGGATTTCTTAGCTTCAATAAACATGAGCCAATTTCTTGTAATTAAAAAATACATACATTTTTAGAAATACATACATTCTGTTGGTTCTGTTTCTCTGAAAAACCCTAATACAGTGTACATACAGATATGTTATCTGGTACTTCCCCAAATATACTCCACCAAATACCACAAGAAAATATATATCCTACAAAATATCCATTACAAAATTTTTTTTAAAAAGGATTATCCATTACTACCATGATATAAAGTGGTGACACTTAATGAGAATTTCTAAAATCCTTCAAAAATAAGCTATTATTTGATCAGACAACAGAAATTTTTGCTGGGAAATATTCTTTCAGTACATTAGTTTTGTAGAAATTGACTGCATTCAAGCAGAAGTTCACTTTATGCTATTTTCAGACAATTATGTATGTTCAAAATCTCACTGGTTCCTTCTTAACAGTCTGGTAAGTGCCAGAACTGATAGACTTCAATGATAATTTCTCGAGGAGGTCTGCTAAAAAAAAAAAATCATGCAAAACCAAATGAAAGCCAAATAGTGATGATATATTTTGACATGGGCTGCAGCTACCCAATTGTATCAATCAAAAAGCTTATCAACAATTACAATGTAAGGGATTAGCATTGTGCAAGTTTGATATCAGCTATCAATGTGAATCCTCCCAAGGCTTCCTCTGGTCAACGAGCACCATTTTGACTCCCTTCTTATTATAAATGGGTTAAGGTCCAGAAATGCCTAAGCAAAAACAAAGGCGATTTTTACATACTATCTCATTTTTTTATTACCAGCTCCTAATGTTTTTCTCATAATATGAATAACTATTAACAGAAGAACGTTTTTTTTTATATTTCATGTAAGGCTTCAAAGAAACAACTAGAATATTACCCGTATCTGGTACCTATTACACCTGAAAAAAGGCTTAAGTACAATTAATTACAATATTTGTGAACTTAGCTGTGTCACTACTACTCTAGATGAAATATTCTTTAAATGAAAAGTTTTCTTTTTATTTACCTAGGATTCTAAGGCATACAAGAAACCAAGAAATCACACCTTCTCTGAAATTGCACATTGTATACATATTGCAAAAATATTAAAAATTAAATAATTTAAAATTGAGTTAAATACATATAACAAGTTTAGGAATTGAAAGCTTTACTCGAACACAAAAAGCTACCCAAATAAAATTCCAGATTTTTAAAAACAATAAAACCTATTATTTATCTAAAAGTCAATATACTTATTTAGTGGCTATTAAGATAGCTGCATTTGCAGAAGATTTTTAAGGCAGTGAAACTACTCTGTATGATACTATAGTGGTGGATATAAGACATTATGCACTTGTCAAAACTCACAGAATGGACACCACCACAATTGAACCCTAATGTAATCTACGGACTTTGGGTGATAATGGTGTGTCAATGTAGGTTCATTGATTTTTAACAAATATTATCATCCTGGTGGGAGATGTTGATGACAGGGGGAGGTTGTGTGTACGTGGGGTAAGTGGTATCTGGGAACTCTTTGTACTTTCCTCTCAATTTTGCTGTGAACCTAAAAAAATAGCTCTAAACAATAAAGCCTTTTGTCTCAAAGATTTAAAACACTATGATAAAAAAAATAAAACACTATGATATAAGGTGATTTCTCTTGAAAGTTTATGTGAGTACTGATCAATATGCCATTTTTCACAAATCTAAGAAAAAAATTATTTCCAATGCAGTATTAGAGAGTACCTAACTTAACCCTAGGGAGTAGAAGCAAAGGACATGTAAATTATGTATATTTTGTCCCTTGTGGAGATGGTACCCAGGAAAAGAGGAATTGTTTGAGAAAATTTTAATGAGATATACAGAACATCAGAACTAGAGGTATGCTAAAGCTACCCCAAAATATCTTCTGGCCTAAAATATCACCATCTATCTCTTAGCATCTGTAGAATAAGGTAAGGTAGAAAGGAAAATGGAAGATCACGATCACAGAGTGCCTGGTCCACTCAGCAATACTAAAGTTGGACTTCTCAAGATCAAAGATGGTGTTATCTGTTTCTCCCAACAGTTGTTCTTTTTGGCCATAGCTTGTATACCCAACTAACCTGACATCATGCCCACATCCTGACTTCTAATGAGTACGTGGGAGAAACTGCTATAGAAAATATCTGCAGGACGCCAGGGCGACTCGGTTAAGAGCTGGACTCTTGATTTTGGCTCAGGTTATGATCTCAGGGTTGTAAGACTGAGCCCCATGGCTATGCCTTGAGTGAAACCTGCTTAAGATTCTCTCTCTCGGGGATCCCTGGGTGGCGCAGCGGTTTGGCTCCTGCCTTTGGCCCAGGGCGCGATCCTGGAGACCCGGGATGGAATCCCACGTCGGGCTCCCGGTGCATGGAGCCTGCTTCTCCCTCTGCCTATGTCTCTGCCTTGTCTCTGCCTCTCTCTCTCTCTGTATGACTATCATAAATAAATAATTTAAAAAAATAGATTCTCTCTCTCCCTCTCCCTCTGTCCCTCTCTACCAAAAAAATCAAAATAAAAAAGAAAGAAAATATTTGCTAAAAGATGGCTTCTTGAAAAACATGAGAAAAATAATATCACGGATATTATTGGAACAAGTAGTTTATATTTTTTAAAAAACTGAAAAAAAGGAAGTGATAATCATAAAATATTGAACTTGCTAACTAAGCTCATTTAATTTTGCTACTTAGGATGGCTCTATGGATGATTTTCTTATTCCAGCTCCAACTAAAACAAAGGGCAAAATATTTGAGGGAGGAAAAACATAGCAAAATGTGTATATAATAGGTTTTCTACTAAACTTCAACCTTCTGGCATTTTCATTTATTCTTGCTAAAATAGTGTTCTATATTTGAAGTTTCTTGGAGATAAATAATGTACAAAGTTGCAATATGATTACTTATGGGCAAGAAATGAGAAACACAAGACACAAATTTTCCCTAAATACAGAAAAGTTGAAGTGGTTTAATTCATTTTTGCTTTCTGAGGGAAAATATGTAGCAAGAGGTAAACAGCGGAGTCCAGGTCTAAGCAATAATGACTAGCACTGAAATAGTCAGTAGTAAAGTCTTCTACATGTCTAATAGAGGTTTTGAATATCTAGGTAAAACTTTAAAAAATCCATAAATGTAATACAGTAATAACTACCTATGGGTGAAATTCTCATTGGTTGTATAATTTATTTAGTTGCCCCAGCATACCACTCTTTATTTTGTCTATTTTGGCACAGTTTTAAAACATTCTCTTTACTTTGGATATTTGATATAATTCATCTTATTTTTTATCGAATTTAATTTTCTACAAGATCCATTATAATTATGACCTCCATAAATAAGTTGACAAATGTATTGATTTGTCTCTTCTTATTGGTAGCAAATTGAAATCGTAAGTCTTCTAAAAGAATGTCAAGTTCTTCACCAAATTAATGTGTGATGTCTTCAAGATGGATTTAATTTGTGCCACTTGATAACAACCTTTTCTGGATTTGTAACTGTCTCTTTCCACTGATTTGCTGCTTCGATGTGATTACTGTCTTCACTTATCCAAATCTGCAAAGGAACAGTACAATCATTTAACTTAACACAAAAACAGCAATTGGGTTCAAAATAGTTACTTCCTCTTACTGATGAAAGCCAGGTGGAAGTTGGGTTCACATTATTTTCAATTAAACGTCTTTTCATTTTTCCAAAACAACATTAAAACATTTACTAATTTTATATGATTCAATCCAACTTGAAAATTCAATGTGGAAAAAAAATTCAATATGAGATATTCTAAAATAATTTCTCCCCAAACAGTAATTAGTATCCTTCGCTATTCAATAAGTCTAGGAGCTCAACTTACAATTGATCCCAACCATTCAAAATCATCTTTGTAAAAGTAAGCTGAGACTAATCATGATATAAGTTAGACTGGTACAAAATGTACATTTTAAAGCACTTTTTACACTAGATAAAGCTATGATTTTAACTGAAATCTAAACTATAACTTTAGGTAATAGATATGAATGAATTTGAGAAGACGACAGAGCATTACGCAAGTGTAAGGCATCATATCCGTCACAGGCCCCAGAGGCAAGGGGCACAAGGGGTGCAAAGCCTGAATTCTCACCTGAGCTTTAGTACTAACAGGTGCTGTTTGGAATTAACTCCTCTGACATTCAGTTTCTAATTCTTTTAAATAAAGAAACTGAAGCAAGTTACTAATTTTCAAACTTTTTCTCCTAAATTTCCTGGTCTTAAAGAACTTTTCCTTCAAATAAAATCTTACAAAGAACCTAATATATGCAACAGGTAATACCAGAGCTCCTTGGCTGAGATGAGTGGAAGGCTCTGAGTCCACATCTGGCTCCCCAACCATGGTGGTTCCTAACGATACCAGAGAAGCCACAGGAACAGATAGCCAGCAAGAACCCTTCCAGAATTATTATTAACTAGACTCTCAACCAACCAAGAAAGTGCAATCACCAAAAAAGTTATCCTGAAAAATCACATGTCAAGAAAATCTCCCATTCCATTCATACATGGTACCTGAGGCTTGAGGATATAGGAAAACTTTAACTGAATGCACTTCACAGACCTCATGGCTTTGAAAAGTATGCTACTCATATGACTTCTTGAGTCCAAACTCCTTCTCACATAGGAATAAATAAAGAACAACAAAACTATAACTTTTTAAACAAATATTTTAGGTAGAAAATACATGAAGAAGTGAGTCAAAGAGTTAATATTAATCTTTGGAAATTCACACCTAATTGGAGGACTTCATGTAGACTGCTAAGAACATCTTGTTATCAAGCAGAAGCTTTTAAACCAATGATGTAGATTTTGGACTTTAAATGCTAGTCAAACAATCATAATGAAGATAAAAGACAATGGGCAGCTGACATTAATCTACTCAGAGTAAAAGAAACTACAAGGGAAATAAGTCCCTATAGGATTGACAAGGAAGCAAGTGTTATACTGTCTTACACAGATTACTAAAAAATTTTTAAGAGAGTAATCCAGACACTAAAATCATCCATCTAAATACCATCACAACCACTGCTAAAACTAATGTTTTCTAGAAATTCAAGTCTAATATAATTCAGTTGATAGCACACAGAGTTACATGTTAAATTTAACATGAAACAGAATGAGGTTGGGTATCTGCAGCCTTAGAAAAATTGATTTAATTGCTTAGTGTCAGTACCATTAACTAGTCAATGGTACTGAAAATCTGATCTTTCTTATGGTATTTATAGCTGAGAAGCTCAGAAATAGACTCATTCTAAGATAAGCAGCCTAACTGCACAGAAATTCCAACTACTTGTATTAAAGCAAAATCTGACAGGATTTCATTTTTGTGGCAACATTAAATTTTAACTTATGATGCTGTAGAAATTTACTCCATTCAACTTCAATTTTAGCCTCCATTCCTTTTGTTAACCAACTGTTTCAATGCATAGAAAAGTGCAAGGAAAGGATCAAGGGAAAAAACTCCCTACTAACCTGCCCCACAAAGTGTCGTCTTCTTACAGAGCTCCGACTATAAAGCTTAATGAGAAAAAGAATTTCTTTTTCATTCTGTAAAAGTGGAAAAATCATAGTTTCTCCCCACTTTACTCTTCCATTGGAGGCTTTCAGTAAGCGGGTCTTCTTCTTATAAATCAACTCTCCTGAACTAAACATTGCCACCTTCACAAAAAAACCTAAAAAAATAAGAAGTTGTGATATGCAAAATTTTATTTTAAGTGCCATACAAAGATAATATACCTATATATTATATTTGGTGTGAAAATAGATATAAACCACTTATAAAGATCCGATGAGCTACAGGTATAACAGAAAACATTGCTAGTAAACTTGGTAATTTTAATCACACTTTACAAAGAACTACAGCAACCTTGAAGGAATTTAATCTTCCCCTAACCTGAATGCCATGAAAAAGAGAGGGGTCAACTCTTTGGACAGCTGGAGGAATCTACTTCCCAATTTTACAGAGGTACAATTCTTTGCTTGAGACTCTAGAGGTTCAACAGATGCCCACTAAAGAAAATCTGTTCATTAAACAGATTGAGATGGACAGCTTCCAGTAATGGTACAATAGCTGCACAAACTCATCTTCCCATACATAATGATAAACTCTGAGAAAAATTTAAAAAACAAACAAACACTGTACAAGACATTAAAGAATGATCAAAAACAGGAAGAAACTGAAGGGGAGTCAAGTCTTAAAAGATGGGAACTGTACTGGGTAAAATTCAGGTTTCTGAAGCTTTCCACCTAAGCACACTGCCCAGTCTGATGAACACACGGGCCAACAGTTCAGGCCGAGGGTGCAGTCTGCCTAGTATGAGTCGTCACAAGGGAGAGCTGAGGCTGCCAGGGCAGCAAGAAAGTGAGCAAACTTCCAGAAAGGAGGCAGCTGTAAAGTGAGGAGCTAGTCGGACCATGAGATTTAGAAAATGCAGATGTGGATAATCCCAATTAGCAGTTTTGGTTAACGAAAGACACCCGTTGGTGTAATAAACCACATCTGTAGACTTCTCTCATGGCCTTGTTTCCTAGAACTAACCCTGTGTAGTCCTGGTGATTTGTTCTTTTCATGCCAAGTTGGATTTTATTTGCTTATTTTTATTTTATGATTCTTCCATCTATCTACACAAGTGGTAATAGTCCATAGCTATTTTTTCTATGCACTATTTTTTCTGTTTTGATACGAGAATATGCTTACCTCATCAAGTTACTTTTTCCATTGATTTTCATGCTTTGGAACAGCTTATATAAAATAGGAATTAAATGTTCCTTGAAAATTTGGTAGACTCCACCAGTAAAATCGTCTTGGCCTGGTGCTTTTATTAGAGGCAATTCTTTAACTACCTACACATGGTTATCATTTTATTCAGATGTTCCCCTGCTTTTGGAGTGAATGGCAACATTTTCTTTTCTCTGAAAATCAGTTATTTTATATAGATGTTCAAATGAATTGGCAGTTTTAAATGATATTATTTATTATTGAACCTCTTCTGAATTTGCAATGTTATCCTCTTCCTTGTTCATGTTTTATTTTTTGCTCAATCCAACTCACTATAGGTTTGTCTATTTTATTGATCTTTTCAAAGAAAGGGCTTTGGGTTTTACTGATTATGTCTTTTGCTGTTGTCTTCGTAATTACCAACTTCAACTTTACCTTTAATTCTTTAGGTCTACTTTCCTCTGTGTTTGTTGGGGTTTTCTTAGCTTCCTGAACTGAATGGCCAACTGCATTTATTGTTAGTCTTTGTAGTTACAGTGGACATCCAGATATTCTCTCTTATAGAAGAATAAAGGAGCGCTCTTACCATACCATACTCTTAGCCCTTCAGGTAGAACTGACCTCAAACTTCCAGCTCAGAGAACAGCCATGTGAACCAGGCCTAGATAACACAAAGTATCAGAACCCCTTCTTCTGCCCAAAGGAACAGGGAAGGAAAAGTGTTTTAGTGTTTCTGTTTGATATTTTTAGGTTTTTAAAATTAAGCTTCTAGTTAGAATGTTCAACAGAGGGTATAGACCTATAGAAAGGATAAATTATCTAGGCTGGTGAAATGTATCTGACGGTCCTCTGGACACTCAATCTATATTAACTAATGAACTAAATAGGGAATATGATCAAATGGATAAAAACCAAGAGAGCATGGATTAAAGTTGTCACAGTGACTAAAATGTGAAATCCAATAAAGTAATTTTAAGTTAAAAGTGTTTAAGTATTATGCTGAGTGAAATTATTTAAAAAAAAGTGTTTAAGTTCCATAATAAAAGCAACTAAGATTTTAATGTCAATTACTAAGACATGTAGGAAAAGTTACCTTTTACTAATATCTTCTGAAGACTCCACTTTTTTTTGTTTTTCTTAATAATAAATTTATTTTTTATTGGTGTTCAATTTGCCAACATACAGAATAACACCCAGTGCTCATCCCGTCAAGTGCTCCCCTCAGTGCCCATCACCCATTCACCCCCACCCCCCGCCCTCCTCCCCTTCCACCAGCCCTAGTTCATTTCCCAGAGTTAGGAGTTGAAGATTCCACTTTGAACCACGGATATACTTACTCAAAGTGAGAGGTGTCGAAGAGCTTGGAAGGTATTGTGCCTCAAGAATTTGTAACTGAATTCTGCTATTTACAGCTTGAAAACAAGTCCCCAGTTCAAGTTCTGCATGGCAAACCTGGATATCAAAAAAGTGCCTTTTGGTAAATAAGAATAAAGTTTTGCAGATACTTCAAAAATTAAAAAATAAAGAGCTATAGTAAGAAGTTTTGAAAGCTTTTTATTGACACACAATGCTATGATATAAAAGATGGTTTGGATAAATGCTATGGATTCTGTAAATATGAGCTACTCACTTTCATGGATTCTGAAAATCCAAATCACACCTATGTACATACACACCTTTAAAATCAGGGTGGTCAAAAGACAATTAAAATTGAAAACAAATTAAATTCCTGAGCAGCGATACTAAAGAAAATGTCCGTGAAATAAACACCAAAAAACCACACTCCCAAAACACTTAAATTCAGTCATTTGAATTATTTTTAATACATAAACTACAATAAAAACTTTCAAATATGAGAATCATCATTATTTTTCCCAATTGTAGACACGACAGTAGGTGCTACCCAACTTAGAAGAAAAAGGGTTATTCCAAGCAACAAATGTGTAGGTTAAAGGCTGAATTGCTATGCTGAGTGAAAGCCAGCCAAAGAAGAACATTAGAAAGAAGGAAGCTAGTGAAAGTAATGAGATAGCAAATAATAAGGAAAAAGTCAAAGAAAACCTGAGGAAAACAATGCAATGAAGCAGATTCAGAGAGGGGAAAAGTTAAAATGTGCTCTTCATTATTGCTAGCAGAAGAACATAAGTAAATTCATGAAACGGAACACAAGCCAGCCTACTTAGGTGGATTTCAAGGTCCCTGGAGTAAAAAAATAAAAGAAATAAACATAAAGTCATCCAAACAGAAAAACATTACTGTTAATGTGCTGAGAAGAATAGGTATGGGAATAAAGCAAGAGCATCGCGTTAACAGACCTCACTAGGGCTCGGAATAGACTGGCACAAAAATCTTTGTGAGTGTTGATGCCAACGAAGGTAAAAAAAAAAAACAGCTGAATGACACTCCATGAAGAGATTTATATTTGGTAATTGCCTAGTATTCCCCAGTAACTGACATGACTCATTGAAAAAGAACTTTTCCAAGTACATGCCATTGACTGAATCATGGGCATTTCCTTAAAACATGATCCTGCATTTTTTTAAAGATTTACTTATTTATTCATTTTTATGATAGACAAAGAGAGAGAGAGAAAGAGGCAGAGACACAGGAGGAGGGAGAAGCAGGCTCCATGCCGGGAGCCTGACATGGGACTCGATCCCAGGACTCCAGTATCGCGCCCTGGGCCAAAGGCAGGCACCAAACCACTGAGCCACCCAGGGATCCCTGATCCTGCATTTTAAAACTGGTCATCTCAAGATAAAAAAGATGTGAGATATATTTATACATATGATGGAATATCACTCAGCCATAAATAAGAATGAAATCTTGCCATTTGCTATGACATGAATGGACCTAAAGAATATTATGCTAAGTGAAATAAGATTTAAAAAAATATCACAGGGCAGCCTGGGTGGCTCAGTGGTTTAGTGCCACCTTCAGCCCAGGGCCTGATCCTGGAGACCCAGGATCAAGTCCCATGTCAGGCTCCCTGCATGGAGCCTGCTTCTCCCTCTGCCTGTGTCTCTGCCTCTCTCTCTCTCTCTCTCTCTCTCTCTCTCATGAATAAATAAATAAAATATTTTTTAAAATCATATGACTTATTTCACTCAGCATAATACCCTCCAGTTCCATCCACGTCAATCAGAGGACAAACATTATATGGTCTCATTCATTTAGGGAATATAAAAAATAGTGAGAGGGAATAAAGGGGAAAGGAGAAAAATGAGTGGGAAATATCAGAAAGGGAGACAGAACATGAGAGACTCCTAACTCTGGGAAACGAACTAGGGGTGGTAGAAGGGGAGGTGGGCGGGGTGTGGGGGTGCCTGGGTGACGGGCACTGAGTGGGCACTTGACAGGATGAGCACTGGGTGTTATTCTATATGTTGGCAAATTGAACACCAATAAAAAATAAGTTTATAAGAAAAAAATAAAATAAAAATCATATGGTTTTATACACATGTGGAATCCAAAAAACAAAACAAATTCTTAAATACAGAAAACCGCGGGAGAAGGGACATGGGTGGGGGGATGGGTGAAGTAGATAAAGGGGATTAAAAAGTACAGACTTCCAGTTATAAAATAAATAAGTCACAGAGATAAAAAGTACAGCACAGGGAATACTATAACAGCGTCACATGTGATAAATGGTAACTACAATTATTATAGTAAACACAGAATACTGTACAGAATTACCAAATCCTCATGCTGCACACCTGAAACTAATTTAACTATCCAATCATACTTTCATTTAAAAACATTTTTAAAAATACAATTAAATTAGTCATGTCATATGAAATAAAGAGATAGACGATGAAAAGTGAACCACTTTATAAATCCAACTGTTGAGGTTAGACTTCCCCTTAAAAAGTTAAAATCATGGTCAAACTCGTCTATTTTGGCAACAAATGCTGGATTTTTTTTAAGATTTATTTATTTTGAGAGAGAGAGAGAGAGAGTGAGTGTTCGTATGTGTGCATGCGTGTGAGCAGGAGGAGAGAGAAAGAATGTCAAGCAGACTCCCTGCTGAGCATGGTGCCTGACAGGGTGTTTGATCTCCCAACCCATGAGATTATGACCTGAGTCAAAACCAAGAGTTGGATGCCTAACCAAATGAGCCACCCACGCGCCCCAACAAATGCTGAATTCTGATAAATAAGTGAAAGTACTATTTTTGCTTTTATTATCAGAATAAGAATGGATCCATACATCTCTTTGGTAGCATATATAAAATAAAGCCTTTGCTGATTTAAAAAAATGCTGCTGCTCTTGGCATTTAAAAAAAATAAATATAACAGTTACTTACTGTTTACAAAAGCCAAGGAAACCATGGATAAAAATTTTTGTTATTATGGTTTTGTACCCATAATGTGATAATTCACATGAAAACACCTAATGGTGGGAAAACTTCCCTTAGTGTTACACACGGGTAGTGCTCACTCTCACAAAAATGAGCAGCATTTGGCAAAGGGTTTGCCATTTCTAACTTGCCAATGCCATTTCAGAATTCAACTCACTTAGTATGTTCCAGTATATCAATTTGGATTGTGGAAAACTATTCAAAGTGGTTTTCCATCTCCCAATAATCCCAAAATTAAAATTCCAATTAGCTGGTATATATTAAGTGCATTTTTAATGGGCAGAACACTGTGGAGGATATAAGATATGATCTCTGGTCTTACATTATTATGTATCATGTTTTAAAGAACAAAAAAACCTGAGCCTTCCTAGAATTACTGTTGAAAGTAAAAAGTTAAGCATAATTAGACCGTGATCTGTCTGGTGATGTCTCCTTGGCGGGAGCGATACATGGTAGAGCTAAGAGAGCTGGCCCTGGGATCAAAGCTTCTGCCCAAATCCTAGCCCACCAACTGCTGGCTAGAGAAAACCAGGCAAGCGCTTCAACATATTGGTCGCTATGGTAGGGATAACAAGAGCAGAAAGCTCATAAGTTTGGTGTGAGCATTCAATCACCTAACAGCATATGGAGAGAGTCCAGATGTCCACTGACCGGTGAATGGATAAAGATGTGAAGATGTGGTCTATATATATACAATGGAATGTTACTCAGCCATCAGACAGAATGAAATCTTGCCAGTTGTAAAGACATGGATGGAGTTAGCAGGTATTATGCTAAGCAAAATAAGTCAGAGAAAGACGATTATCATACGGTTTCACTCATGGAATTTAAGAAACAAAACAGAGGATCATAAGGGAAGAGAGGAAGAAATAAAACAAGACGGAATCAGAGAGGGAGACAAACCATAAGAGCTCCCATAACTCTAGGAAACAACTGAGAGCTGCTGGAGGAGAGTGGGGGCGGAGGGATGGGGTAACTGAGTGACAGGCATGAAGGAGGGCACGTGATGTCATGAGATCACAACCTCTATCTCTGAAACCAGTAATACATTAGGTGTTAATTAATTGAATTTAGATAAAATAAAAATTAAAAAATTAAAAAATCACCTAACACCACATCAGTTGTTTGGTTAAGTGTCTATAAATGTCAGCTATTTCTTCACACAAACCTCTTCCACATTATTTGACACAGAAATTTGGGTTCTCAAACAAATACTTCCATTGCTATTTGTCGAGGTCAACAACTCTGTAGTAAGGAAAACATTAGCTCTATATGAAAGTTCTGCTGTTTACGGTGACATAGCTGTCAGTATGGAGGATGGGTGTGGAAATCTGGCTCTGTCACTTTCACAATCCGAATATCAATTTTACACAGGAAACAAAGCATACTATTATTGCATTAGCCAATAGTATAAAACATTCACCGATAACACAAGTTCACTGGTCCAGGGTCCTCGCGAGCTCCCTCAAGCCATCAGCCTTTCTGTATCCCTAGCACCCAGCACACAACAGATACACAAACATTTGTAAGACCTCTAATACAGGAAATAATTTGGTAGAAACTTAGCCAAAACCATCCTTTCAGATTCTCCAAAGCAGATAAAAATGATAGCATCTCAATTTTCCCCAGAAAACACCTTTGCTGAGTTATCTTCTGATCCACTCTACTGGTCTTTAAAGCTTTATTATATGAATTACCCACTGGAATAGTATATTTGTGCCTTCTGTAAAACACGGCTGCAGATTACCATCTACCAAGCTAGTTTCAAAGATGCAAGTGACCAACCTGTCCCAGTTATGAGGCAAATTTGCTATATTTAAACAGAATATAAAAATAATCTAATAGAGCATGCTTTCACTCATTTATTCTTTCATACCTACCTGGGTACCAATATTCAATGTCAAGAGTATAACAGGCCCTTATGAAGAGCACAATAAAATGGAAGTCTGAGCCTAGTTTTATTTAAAACAAGCAACTGAACTCTAACTTATAATGAATGTTGTACAGAGAACACATAGGAGATGAAGACAGGAAATAACATACAAGAAATAACTACCTGAAATTTTCACTTTTTGATCAATCATAGAAATCCATTTTCATTTTTTAATCCCTAATTTAATACCCCTCTAATTCAGTGGTTCTCAAGCCAGGCTGCGCAGTAAAATCACCTGGGAAGCTTCTGAAAAAAACAGCAGCTTCTGGCTCCCTCCCATCTCCCCTCACCCCCAGAAAATTCTGATTTAGTTGGTTTAGGTGTGGGCATATTTGTAAAGCTCCCCAGGTGATCCTAATGCGTAGCCAGGGTTAAGAACCACTTTAAATCACATTAAATATTTTTTAAGGTAGGTAAAATATAAATCTCACATAAACTTAAAATCACATATAGATTTGGCCTTACAGAAGCTTATGACTGATTTCTGTAACTGCTATCCTGACACAGAAACTGTATAATTAAATTATCAGGGGTTTCTAAACAATCTAAAAACAGTGTTCAGCTGGCTAGTTGAAAGAATTAAAATCAGGTCTCAAAAATCAATACACAGTACAAATAATCAAGTTATTTAAAAAAAACAAACAAATCCAGCTATAAAAACCTCCATTTTACCCAATTTATGGACATTTAGCTTACTCATGATTAAACCACCTTCCTAGTCTATTTTAAGGCAATCTCAGAGTTTGGAATTTATGATTCTTTCTTGCTATAACTAAATTATCAATTAGTCACTTCAGGATTATTTTCCCTGAAGTATGAAACATTTATAAAAAATGTACAGGAGAAGGTAACCCTAAGGGTATTTTTCAACAGAGAAAGCAAAGGGTCTCTGTTAACCTTTTATCATTTACTTAAAAAGTATTAAGAATGACAGTATTATTACTTCTTGAAAGCCTTCCCAACCCTCTAATATATTCTAGAATGTCCCAACAAAAACTCATCCACAAAATAATTCTAAAAGTATAAAACAGTTTTAACATTACATACTATTATCACTTACAGAAATTTTTGAAGGTGGTATTATATCCAAAGAGTAATCCATTTCCTGTGTGCTGAGAGTTCTGAGTGACAGTGAGCATTCTCCAATGGTTTTCTTCCTGGGAGTCTGGGTTTGAATCTTAAATACGAGCCTTACAGTTTGTAGACTTTGGAGTTTAATGGCAAATACAAAAGTTTCCATAAATTCAATAGCCTAAAAAAAAAACCCACAAGAAAATAAGAAATAATAAGAAATAATAATAAGAAAACAATATAATAAGTAAAAGGAATGGGGAAAGAAAAGATGATATGCCAGTACAAAAGAAGAGAAAGTAACATTTTATCATCTAGGAAGGATCTGATTTTTTTTGCAACAAAAAATATTTTTCAATGTAAGTCAAAATGACAATGACCATGAGTTGTTTTTCCAGAATTTATCCTGGATACTGCCTTTCTTACTGTCACAAATCAAATCACCCTTTTAATTACTAAGGAATTCAGGTCAATATTAATTCCACATTTAGCAGAAGATAGCTTTTCTTTTCGAAAACTGGGTTGTTTTCCATCTTTGGTTCTGGGGTATCTTTCCTGCTTTTCTCCACAATTTTTCAACAGTTAATAAGTGGTTCAAGAATCTCAGGTGTGCTCTTTCAGCAAGTACCCCAAATCTAACTGTTCATATTAAAAGACTTGAATTATTTCTATTCTTTGTCTAATATTCTTCCCACCTACTTTGGGCTCTGATTTCTCCTCCTGTGACATTTGCTCCATTCTTTGCAACCTGAAAATCAATCTCCTTGAAAAGTGCTACCTTCTCCCATATATCCACCCTAGGCAGCAAGTCAGTGTTTTCCGTGCTCAGAAGATTCAAACGTTCTTTCCATAACTCCTAATATTTTAAAAGCCCTGTCTTACCAAGAACTAACATCTTCTTAACACAAGATTGATTTTTGCTATCTACTTCCTTCTTCCCTTCTACTGCATTCTTTTTTTTTTTTTTTTTTTTTTTTTTGCCTTTTGAAAAAACACAATATCTGGGCAACTAACATCCATATTTTAGATGCTGTGCCAACATTTTCACTTTTTTAAAAATTTTTTTTTATTTTTTTTTGTTTTATTTATTTATGATAGGCACACAGTGAGAGAGAGAGGCAGAGACACGGGCAGAGGGAGAAGCAGGCTCCATACACCGGGAGCCCGACGTGGGATTCGATCCCGGGTCTCCAGGATAGCGCCCTGGGCCAAAGGCAGGCGCCAAACCGCTGCGCCACCCAGGGATCCCAACATTTTCACTTTTATTGTAATTGTTTACATCTGTATAGTCAAAATTGTGTTTCTGAGAGCCTCCCAACCACTGGAGCTATCTTTTTCTCTGAGTCTCAAGGCACAGGATCACACCACCAATAGAGTATTCATAAAATATGTAATGTTAAAACTGAAATGCAGTGAGCTTACACATAATGCAAGTGTGCTGGTCTGTCCCACACTTTGCTACAATAGGGGTAAAGGGGTAAACAAGTTGACAAATAATAATAAATTTTAAAAGTAAGATTCCATGCAAGAATTAATAGGAGAGCAATTTTTCCTAAGCTTAGTTTTATTTGAAAATAAAAAAGTGAAACTGTTTAATTCAGGAAGGATCCATCTTCAATATCAGCACTATAACCATATTTAAGATTTATTTCCATCTTGACTTTCTCTAATGCATATTTTCACAGTGAGATACTAAGACATGTACATCAATTTTGATTAGTGCCTTTTCACTTATTAAGAATATTTTTCCATGTCCTAAAAAACTCTTCCTAAACATTATTTTTTATAGCTGCCTAGTATTCTATCACATGGTGTTATGGTTTAAATTTGTCCTCAAAAAGGATATGCTGAAGCCCTGACCCTCAGTAATTCAGAATGTACCTTATTTAGAAATATGGTCCTTGAAGAGGTAACTAGTGAAGTTAAGGTGAGGCCATAGTGGAGTGAAGACACAGCGACAGATGGAAAATGCCACATGAAGATGGAAGCATAGAATGAAGTCAAGGAATGTCAAAGATTGCTGACCATCACCGAAGCTGGGAGAGTGGCATGGAACAGATTCTCCCTCACTGCTGAAGGAAGGAACCAACAAGCTGACACCTTGATTTCAGACTTTCTCTAAAACTGTGAGAGAGAAAATTCTGTTGTTCTACGCCACTCAATTTGTGGTACTTTATTACCCAAAGAAACAAACGCACATGGTATATATGTAGCATGAATTTTCTTAACCATTCCCCTATATAAGACATTTAGATAGTTTTCCAATTATTCCCCTTGAATAAAACTGCCAAGAATACTTTATATATTTAAATTATTTCCATGGAACACATTCCAAGTCGAATCATCATGTAAAGGCATATTAAAGCATATAAATATTTCAAAGCTTTGATGTGTTTTGTCAAAATAACTTCCATAAAGTTCTATGCTCTAGAGTACTTATAAATTTTTTTCTAATTTTCATAAGCAAAGAAGGATAGAAAAGAAAGAACAATGTGTAATTTAAATATGTATTTCCATAATTACTAGAGTAAACTTTTTCATGGTTATTAGCCATTTGAATTACTTTATTTTTAAATCATACATTCTTATAGAAAATACATTTCATTGGATGGAAAAGCAGTAATGAGAAGACAGATAAGAAGAAAAAAATGAAGATATATTTAAACTGATGTGAAATCTGGGATCCCTGGGTGGCTCAGTGGTTTAGCGCCTGCCTTCAGCCCAGGGCGTGATCCTGGAGACCCGGGATCGAGTCCCGTGTCGGGATCCCTGCATGGAGCCTGCTTCTCCCTCTGCCTGTCTCTGTCTCTTTCTCTCTCTCTCTTCTCATGAATAAATAAATAAAATCTTTAAAAAAATAAAAAAATAAACTAACGTGAAATCTAAAACCTATAAAACCAAAATCAGGATCATTAGTCTTCCAATTATAATAACTGGAAATATTTAAAAGAAATTTATTATAATCATGCAATTATTTCTCAAAGCCAAAGTGGGGTAGGAGAAAGAAGATGAAAATAGACCTTCATTTTCCTTTCATACGAGAAAAGTAGATGGTCTTCTTAGAATTGTTTATCTTGTATATACTTTAGTGATTATGATTTTCTTTTTAAATGCATCTTAACATTAGACAATGTAATATCAAGTATTTTTGAGACTCAAAATTGTCTTTAAAAAGTAAGGAATATGTACTTTGCTATTTCCCCAAAATAAAACACTTTGTTATTCCAAGTCTTCACATGGCTTAACGTGACTAATACAAAATAAACCTAAAATGAAATTCAATCACAGCCACTTACATTAGAGCCTTCCTTGGCTGAAGATTTGAAATGCACTGGTTTGGGCAATGTAAGTATTCCTTTTATAGAAATAGTAGGAGTGTCTCCAAAACTAGAAGGCCAACTTAAATCTCTGCACTAAAAAAAATTAAAAATACAGTTTGAATTTTAAAAAGGACCCTGGCAATACAAATATTTGATGTTTTTGAGCTAATGACTTAAATACAAACTTATAAAAGTAAACTTTAGTCTACTGAGATCTCATTTCTTCTACCTTAAAATAATTTGACATTTAATGTTCTAGATATCATATCAATTTTCTTCTTAAGGTTAAAAACCACAATTCCATCATACCTACAGATTTATTTTCTTTAGTCTTTTTAAAATACTGTTTTCTGCAAAATACTACAGAATCCTAAATTCCAAATAAAGTATTGTCCAGTTCCCTAGAGAGAGCACCGTAAGTTTGTAACAAAAACATTCAATCTTGTAAGAAAAGTTGGTATTAATTAAATTAACTTACTTGTAAAACTGTGATCCAGATCTGTTCTACTGAAGAATTATAAAACACTTTCACATGCAATCTCCCAAAATCTCTTTCATCTCCTGACAAAGTAATTGTATCTGAATTGTAAAAAGACAAGAACATTTGACATGCTATGCAATCCTTCTAATCCAATTACGCTTTGATACAATCCAATTTTAGGAGCACAACTGAAAAATGCCATAACTTTTTTTAAGTTGCCACTTTAATAAAAAAAGAAGTCACACTTCAATGTTATTATTAGAGTGCTGGGGGAGGCCTACTGTAAAAAGTACATGGCTTAAAAATTTAACTCAAATATAGACTGAGAGACTTAAGTTAAAACTAAGATAAACTTCCCCCAAGTAACACAGATATGGCTTTAATCATGCTTCTGGAAATTCCTTCACTAGAATACTTCAAAACAAACAAAAGGCATTTAACAGCTTCGCATTTTTTTTAAGATGCATTCATGCCTGAGCACTGAATAATGGGCCATCCAACCTGGGTATTTATACGCAGATAACAGATGTAACCATCTAGAGGTTTTCTTTTTTTGGTAGAAATAATTCCCTTAAGAATATAAAAAGGTGGAACTTTATTCCTTACCCAGGCTTCTGTTACTGCCCTGGGAATTCTTCCTTGAAGAAGAAGTGCTTGGCACACTGGACCATGAATCATGTCTCTAGAGATAAAAATTGCCCTTAAGTCCAATATCACACATCAAATTTTAAGATTCTGACACTTATGCCCCAACACCCACCTTAGTATCAAACCACATGCTAACCATGTTGACAAGTGTTACTGGTCAGAATTTCCCTCTTTTAGGCAGTAAAGAGAAAAAAAAGCTTTCTGTGTGTGTTATCAGGAAAATCTTAAATAACTTACTGGATTACATATGGGGAAAGCCTTTGTTATTTGGGGTTTGGCTTTATAATGAGGTTACCACATTTCCTACTTGAAAGTACTAGTAAAAATAAGAATATATTTGAAAGAGCCCTATTACCTAAAAACCTATTAAGTAGCAGTCATCAAAGCAGAGTTCCCTCTGAACCAGCAGTATCAACATTGCCTGGGAACTTGTTGGAAATACAAACTGAGGTCCCAGTGCAGAGCTACTGAATCAAAAGCTCTTGGAGTGGGATGCCTGGGTGGCCCAGTGGTTGAGCGTCTGCCTTGGGCTCAGGGTGTGATCCCAGGGTCCTGGGATTGAGTCCCATATCAGGCCCTCCATGCGGAACCTGCTTCTCCTTCTGCCTGTGTCTCTGCCTCTCTTTCTGGGTCTCTCATGAATCAATAAATAAAATCTTAAAAAAAAAAAAAAAACTCTGGGGGTGAGACCTGGCAACCTGTGTTTCAACAAGCTCCCCCACCTATTCTGATACACATTAAAGAGCTGCTGCTATAAAGAATTAATTCTGAAAAAAAATTAACTTGACTGAGGATTATGAAGCATTCTTTGTAATACATTTCCTTTTTAATAAAATATATGTAAATACATTCACATGGAAAAAAGCCCACAAGTATATATAATAATATTTTCATGGTGTTTTTACTCTTAGTTACAGGAATATAGGTGATTTGTCTTTTTACTCTGTTTAACTATTTTCTAATTTTTAATAATAATTACAATTTACTTATATTTTTAAAAGAAACTTTTTTAAACAACAAAAATTCTATTTCAAAAATAGGAGAATGCTGTGTTAATATTAATATATAACAAAAGTCCTGTATCTCAGTAGAAATACTAATTTTTACTAAGTAGGTAGCTATGTTCAATAAGGAGAGTTAGATCAATAAGCACATCAATAACCATACCATTTTAAATTCCAACTGCCTTCAAGATTGCCTGAGTACATACCAATAGAGAGATGTTAAGATTCATTTAAAGAAAAAAAAAAAAAGACTGCCTTTTAGCATTCAGCTGAGACCTTCCTGTAAAAATGGACGTGGGAAATGCAAAGTGTTAATTCTTCAGATATTACTACAGATTTATCTACAAAAGATCCACATATGTTGTTTCTAACATAACTCATACATTTCTCAATTTTTACCTTAAAAATAATCGTATACAATTAAATTTATATCAATAATTCACCTGCATGAACCGTTGAGATGAACTTGTAAGATCAAACATGGACTTGCTTAGCCCAGAAGAACTGGGAAGTTTGCTGGTCCTTAAATCACAATCTACAAAGAGACATGGAAAATTTTCTTTAAAGAAGAAACATTGGAATTTTACTTAATCACCATAAACTAAATCTCTATAGGAGTGCATATAAATGCAACCTATTTAAGAAATAAAGTCTTCTGGTGATCCCTGGGTGGCTCAGCGGTTTAGCGCCTGCCTTTGGCCCAGGGCACGATCCTGGAGTCCCAGGATCAAGTCCTGGGATCGAGTCCCACGTCGGGCTCCCGGCCTGCTTCTCCCTCTGCCTCTGTCTCTGCCTCTCTCTCTCTTTCTATGTCTATCATGAATAAATAAATAAAATCTTTAAAAAAAAAAAAAGGAAGAAAGTCTTCTACTAAAGTTTAATGTTTTTCAATTATTTTACTTTTGTTCCAAACAGAAACCAACATAAATCAAACAACACATTTCAAAACCATATCAAATATCAAGCAGGAAAAACTGAACTCTTTTTGTTTACATTGCAATTCTTCATCCCATAGGAATAATCTAAGAGAATGTAGGTCCTCTGTGCTAAATGCAATTCAACTATGTAATGAGCACTTACCACATTAAAAAAATAATATTGAATTCCAGTGCTGCTATATTTCTAGTCTGTACTTCTAGTTTTCCCCCAAACTAGAATACTTTTTAAAGAATGGAACGCAGAATACTGTGCATCCTAATACAGCACTGAAATAAATACTTAAATAAATACTTCTGCTTTGTTTTCAGCACCTCACCTTGAATTCAGATGTTGATAGCTGTATACATTAAACTTGAAAAACAGAATTTTGACAATCAGATGTGTACATTACAGTCTAAAATTGATACAGTCCTCAAATATTAAACTAAGAAAGTTCTATGATCATGTAGGCATTTTCTGTTTTCTTTGTTTACACTTATAATTTCATCATGAGGTTGTATGTTTACAATTTTCACTGAATAGAGCAGGGAAGAAAAAAGCTAATAAATATCTGTTGCAGAATTTCTAAATGGATACATGATACTAAAAAAATGAAACTTTAAAAAAAGGACAAATAAAATGGAATTTGGAACTCCCAACCATATAATTCATTCAATTTTTACGTTAGGTAGAGTACCAGAGAGAAGTTATAACATTTATCCCATCACTTCTGAAGCCTGCTTTTCTCTTTTTTTTTTTTTTTTGATAAGAATCATCTCTTCCAGGGTTTTAATTTGATTTCTACATTTGTTAAAGAGGAAAATATACAAAATATTTTTCATACCTGATCCATATAGTCTCACTGCTTCTGAACGAGGGGGAAGGCGTCGGCTCAAATCAGGTGAAATGTGCTGATATCGATAGTATGGGTTGTATATATCGTAGCTGGCTCCATGCTGGGATGAACTAGAAAGCTCTACCTTTCGATCTCCAAAAGATGCTCTGGCAGATGCTGAAAGTAAGTGTTTCTAAAGTTATATAAGACCTTCTTCTTAGAGTTATTTGCTAACAGCTGTTGCATCCAAGGTGAAGGGAAAAAATTTTGTCTCAAGTAATACTAAATCACATGTGTTTGGAGTATTTAAAAAAAAAGTACGTTTATTGAGCTCTGCACACAGCACTCTGCCAGGGGTCAGCTGTGAACCCTGCTCTCAAGACAGTCTGGTAAATTTTTGGCATTTTTCTTTGCCCCATTAACAATTCTGTATTTTGTGATCTGAGTTTTCTTTTATTATTCTACTTACACAAAGAACATCTTTTAAGTAAAAGATCATTTTTCACAAATACACAGAACATTTATAAAAATTGACCAGAAGCTAAGATATACACAGAGCAGTTCTCAATAATTCCAAAGGACTGAAATCACAGACTAAGGTTTTCTAACCACAGTGCAATAAAGCTAGAAACCAACAAAAAGGTGATTAGAGAATATTTTTATGGAAACACAAAGGATCTAGGACAACTGAAAAAATCTTCAAAAAGGAAAAAATATGGAAAGATCTATGCTCCTACGTATTAATAATGGAAGATTGGCACAATAAAATAAGATTGAGCAGAACAGAGAGAGACACTCATTATTTTGTGGACATTGGATTTACAACCATTGTGGCACTGGAAAATCTTTTCATTAAAGTGTGCTAAGACAACTGGATATTGGTATATATATATATATATATATATATATATATACCTTCACCCCAACTAAAAAAAATCACAAAATATTAATTTCAAGTGGATTGTGGGTCTAAATTAATGTTAAAGCAAACCAATAAAACTTGTATGTTTAAGGAAATTTATAAGAAAGTTTTCACAGCCTTAAAGCAGGAAAGAACTTCCTAAATGGAACACAGCATTTATCACAAAATTTTGTTAATATACTGAACTACTTTAAAATTGAAATTTTCCATTTTCTATTGAAGAAAGTGAAAAGGTAATGCACGGAGTGGGAGAAGACATGTGCAACAAATAGAACCAACAAAGGGCTCATACCCCAGAATATACAAGGAATTTTCACAAATCAATAAGAAAAAGACAGACAAGTCCAAATATAAATTGGCTGTAAGACTCAAGCAGGCACTTCAGAAAAGAGGCTACCCAAATAGCCAAAAAACATGAGCAGGTGCTCAATTTTCATGAGTTAGGAGGCAAATGCAAATTAAAATTCCCAGAAGAATCCACTACCGACTGAGCAGGATGGTTAAAATAAAAAAGCCTTACAAAAGCAAGTGTTGGCAAGAGAGTAGCACAATGTGATCTACCAAACCCTGCTGGTGGGAATATAAACTGAGGCAATCACCATGAAAAGAAACTTGGCAAATTCTAGGAAGGCTGAGATATATATACCCTGTGACATGGCAATGCCGTTCTGGGACACATACACAACTGAACTGTCTGCACGTGTGCACCTAGGGACGTGTATGAGAGTGTTCATAAGCCTGAGGATCGCTGGAGGGGAAGGGGTTGGGGGATGCGGCAACTGGGGGATGGGCATGAAGGAACTCGGGATGTGATGAGCACTGGGTGTTACATGCAGCTGATGAATCACTGAACTGTATATCTGAAACTAATGATGCAGTATATGTTGGGTAATTAAAATTTTAAAAAAGAATGTTTGTAAGTATCCTTATCCATCATGGCCAAAAATGGAAAAACTCTCAACATCTATCACTAGTGAAATAAACTGTAATCTATACGTACTAATAAAAATAAATGTGTGCTATACAGAAACATGACTGCATACCATGCCACTTAGAATAAATAAAAATAAATATATTTTCTGTACAGATGTTAAAACTAATGGAAGCTACTGACAATGTGAATGAATCTCAGAACAATTATGTTGAATGAAAGAACCCATACTGTGGAAGGAGCCTCGGTGTCCATCGAAAGATGAATGGATAAAGAAGATGTGGTTTGTGTATACAATGGAATATTCCTCAGCCATTAGAAATGACAAATACCCACCATTTGCTTCAACGTGGATGGAACTGGAGGGTATTATGCTGAGTGAAATAAGTCAATCAGAGAAGGACAAACATTTTATGGTCTCATTCATTTGGGGAATATAAATAATAGTGAAAGGGAATAGAGGGGAAGGGAGAAGAAATGGGTAGGAAATATCAGAAAGGGAGACAGAACATGAAGACTCCTAACTCTGGGAAATGAACTAGGGGTGGTGGAAGGGGAGGAGGGTGGGCGGTGGGGGTGACTGGGTGGTGGGCACTGAGGGGGACACTTGACGGGATGAGCACTGGGTGTTGTTCTGTATGTTGACAAATTGAACACCAATAAAAAATAAATTTATTATTTCTAAAAAAAGACTTTCAAAAAGCTAGAAAGAAAGAAAGAAAGAAAGAAAGCACCCATAAACAAAAAGACTATGCTGAATATGTCATTTCATTTACATAAAGGTCAGAAAACAGAAAAAAAACAAACCACAACATTTAGGGATATGTGCTTAGCTGGTAGAAAGTAAGAGTAGCAAGAAAGCAATAATCATCACAGTTGGGATGCTGATTACTCTGGACTGATGACGGAAACGAGGGAAGATGAAGGCTTTTACACATTGCTGGTGGTATTTGTTTACTTGAGTAGTGACCATACATGTGTCTTGCTTTGTAATAAATCACAGAGATACATAGTTGTTTATCTCCTTTTTCTATATGTGTGTATTTTGCAATTTGAAACAGGTAAAACCATTTATCAAATTCCTTTCAAAGTTAAGAATCACATTGGAAAAAATATAGAGACATGCTATAAAGTTTTTAAGTGTTTAAATGATTACCATCTTTTTCTTCTTTTTTGTCCTATTTAAAATAGAACTCACAGTAAAACCAATACTTTCTGAATTAAGTTAAACAATAAAACAGGTGGCTTCACACTGAGTTCAGAAAAGATAAAGAAAATATGGGGTTATGAGGGGAGATCTTATCCTCACCCTAGGTCAAATAACTGTGTGTGTGTAATCCAAGCACAGTTCACAGGCAGAGGGGTGCCAAGATGGAGTTATGAGGCCAGAGAGCTTGGTAAGGAACCAGTCCACCTTGGACACTAACCCCTCTCATTCAGCACACAAGCACTGCCACAGGTCTGTTTAGACACAATACCCTGTCTGGAGTAGTAGCACCAAAGATGATGTACTACATTTATAGGCTATATCTAAGGAAGAATATTCAGATCTTATTTTACCTTTACAGAATCCCAACCTTCCCCTCAAACAGTATACAGTGATACCATTATTAAAGTTCAAGAGGAAGTTCTCTCAACTTACAGAACCACAGTGCCATATAAAACCAAACATAAGTGACATTTACTTTACATCTCTCAAAAGCTCTACTTAAAATTTCAGTGTTTATTCAAAATACATTCTCTTCACGGATAGATAGGTAGATGTGTGACAAAGCAAGCACAGAAAGATGTTAATGATAGAATCTTACAAAGTAGTAAGTGATGGTTATAATCAGACCCCTCACTAAGCAAGCAATAAAACAAAACAATTTCAGATATTTGACACATAATTTCAGCCATCACTGACAATGGCCTGCCCTATCTCCCTCTCAAAATGTCCTTGTCAGCCCATCACACACGGGCATATACATATACAGCATGCACATGTCTGACTTCTAGAATTAGATGCCCAGAACACTTTCTTGAGTCTAATAAAGTAATTTTTCTCTCCCTTAGGATCAAAATCAGATGGCTTTGCCACATCTTCCCTGAGCCTATAATTTAACCAATTTCCTCATTCATTGCCAATCATTCAAATCAAAAAGCAATCTGTTGAGGATTCCCCGGGTGGCTCGGCGGTTTAGCACTTGCCTTTGGCCCAGGGCATAATCCTGGAGTCCTGGGATAAAGTCCCTCACTGGGCTCCCTACATGAAGCCTGCTTCTCCCTCTGCCTCTCTCTCTCTCTTTATGTCTCTCATGAATAAATAAATAAAATCTTAAAAAAAAAGCAATCTGTTTTCTAGTGATTTAATGAAAACGAAAAGACAAAAGAAGGCCTATCCTATATTGCCAGGTATTTCTTATTTTCTGATTATGAAAATAATATATTAGATACTCAGTGTTTAAGAATACAGAATTCATTAAAAAATTATGGTACATCTATTGATTTAATACTATGGGGCCATTAAAAAGCAATGAATATGAAAACGTGTTCACAATGTGTGATATGAATAAAACAGATTACAAAACTGTTTATGTGGTTTAATCCCAATGCTGTCACAAGTACAAGAGAAAGACTGGGATATCCTGTGGCCAAGAGCCTTTAAACACTATTTTTGAGAGACACTGCTGACATATGCAAGACAAAGTGGTGGGCCAAGCACAGGGTTCCTCTTTCCTTGAAGAAAGAGGAAGGAAGGAAGGAAGGAAGGAAGGAAGGAAGGAAGGAAGGAAGGAAGGAAGGAAGGAAGGAAGGAAGGGAGGAAGGAAGAGAGAGGGAGAGAAGGAAAGAAGGAAAGATAGATTAATTGATCATCCCACTAAACTCAAGTCTCCTATAGATAACAAAAGTACACTGTAGACCAAAAACAAAATGAACAAAACCCTGAAGGTACCAGAGAGTTGTAAAAAGTGGTACATATCCAGGACAGCATTGACCCTTGGAAGAAAGGGAATGGACACCCGTTTTTAATGACTATTAACCTAAACAAAAGCCACAGTTGATGCAGCACAGGACAGATAAAGCGCCAATAGAAAACCCACACTCCTTCTGACCTAAAGAACCAGAGTTCCAAGCGCCAAATTCTGTGAATAAAGTCTGCTCAAATATCTGTTCTGATCCCGGAGCCACACATATGCAGGACAGATCCAACTAAGGATAAAAAAAACAAGCTGAGATAAGAGCTGTCACCAAGGACACAGAATTTACAGCATAGCCCAACCAAGTTCATTGCTTTGATAAAAGAAAGGAAAAAGAAAAACAAATAAACAAAAACCCTTCTCTTCTCAAAGCAATGTAACAGATTTTAAAGTGTCCACAACACAACATCCAACACTGTGAAACATGAAAAGTGACCTATCCTCCAAAAAAAAAAAAAAAAAAGACAAATCACAGAATCCAAACCTAAGTGACTCAGATGTTAGAATTAGCAGATAAAGATGCTAATGCCCAAAGATATAAAAGCAAAAAGGCTCACAATAATGAAAAGAAGAAAATGAAATCACAGCAAAGAACAAGAACCTACAAAAAGGAACCAAATATAAATTCAACAACTGAAAAATACAAGGTCTAAAATAAAAATTCACTGGATGGGCTTAACAGCTGCAAGGAGATGACAGAGGGAAGAGATGGTGAACTTGAAAATCAATAATATCCAATCTTTAGAAAAGAGAAGGGAGAAAACATTGAACAACAGAAAAGAAGTCTGAGAGGCATGTAAAACAATATAAAATGGTCCAACATATGTCTAATTGGAATCCTAGAATGAGAAGGGAGAAAGGGTAGGGCAGAAAAAAATACTTGGAAAAATATTCTAGATTTTGATAGGAGTTTGGATTACACTGTACATGCCTTTATCCAAACTCAACAAATACAAGCTTAAAACTGAGGCAGTTTGTTGCATATAAGGCTTATGTCAAAAGAATAAAAATATAAGCAGATACTAAACTCTGGTAAATGACACAGATGCTTAAGTATTTAGAAGGAAGTGTATTAATGTCTGCAATTTACCATGAAATGTGTTTTCCACCCATCCCCCACCTGACTCAAAAAGGGTTAATAACAGAGGAATAGAGATCTAGATATGTGATTAAGCACAGTACAAATATTAATGATAGATTCCTTGTGGTGGATATACAGATATTCACCATCATATTCTTTTTACCCTCTTTTTAAAACTTTGAATTCAATTAGCCTACATATAATACATCATTAATTTCAGATGTAGTGTTGAATAATTCATCAGTTGTGTATAACACCCAGTGCTCATCACATCACATGCCTTCCTTAATGCCCGTCACCCAGTTACTCCACCCTTCCACCCCTACCCTCCAGCAACCCTCAGTGTGTTTCCTAGAACTTAGAGTCTCTCATGGTTTATCTCCCTCCCTGATGACTCCCCTTCACCTTTCCCTCCCCTCCCCTATGATCCTCTGCACTATTTCTTATATTCCATATATGAGGGAAACCATGTAATAATTGATCGACTTACTTCACTCAGCATAGTACCCTCCAATTCCATCCATGTCAATGTAAATAGTAAATATTCTTTCTGATGGCTGAAGTACTATAGCACTGTGTATATAGACCTCACCTTCTCTATCCATCATCTGTTGATGGACATGGTGGCTCCTCACACAGTTTGGCTATTGTGGACATTGCTGCTATGACACTGGGGTGCGGGGGTCCCTTCATATCATTGCATTTGTATCTTCAGGGTAGATACCTCATAGTGCAATTGCTGAGGCATAGGGGAGCTGTATTTTTAACTTCCTGAGGAACCTTCACTGTTACATTATTTCAACTTCCCTGTGCCTTTGAAATTTTTCACAAGAAAAATTTTTGGGGGGGGGTACCTTGTAACAGTGTTTCTTTCTTTTTTTTTTTTAAAGATTTATTTATTTATTCATTCAGAGAGAGAGAGGCAGAGACACAGGGAGAGGGAGAAGCAGGCCCCATGCAAGAAGCCCGACACGGGACTCGATCCCAGGTCTCCAGGACCACACCCCAGGCTGCAGGTGGCACTAAACTGCTGCGCCACCGGGGCTGCCCTGTAATAGTGTTTCAATGGACGAAAGCAAATTGTTTTTAAAATACAAGAATTATATGCTGTTTCTTCTTATCATCATTACTCCATTGACCTCTAATGACATCAGCCAAAATTTACCCAATGAATCTATCCCACTCAAGTGGCTATTTAGACTAGGAAGTTATATATGCAATGAAATATTATTCAGCCATCAAAAAAAATAAACCTTACCATTTGCAACAATGTTGATGAAACTAGAGAGTATTGTGCTAGGTGAAATAAGTCAGTCAGAGAAAGACAAATACCATATATTTCACTCATATGTAGGATTTAAGAAACAAAACAGAGGATCATAGGGGAAGGAAGGGAAAAATAAGATGAAATCAGAGAGGGAGACAAACCACAGGAGACTCAACTCTAAGATGGGATCCCTGGGTGGCGCAGCGGTTTAGCGCCTGCCTTTGGCCCAGGGCACGATCCTGGAGATCCGGGATCAAATCCCACGTTGGGCTTCCGGTGCATGGAGCCTGCTTCTCCCTCTGCCTGTGTCTCTGTCTCTCTCTTTCACTGTGTGCCTATCATAAGTAAATAAAAATTAAAAAAAAAGAAAGAAACACACTGAGGGTCGTTGGAAGGGAGGTGGATGGGGGAGGTAAGTGGATGAAGGAGGGCACATAATGGGATGAGCACTGGGTGTTGTGTACAACTGATGAATCACTAAACTCTACCTCTGAAACTAATAAAACACTGTTAACTGATTTTAAATATTTTTTAAAAAGGCCACATCTAAACACAAATGTGTTGACTGATCAGATTTCATAATGAGGCCTTTCAAAAATATTATACATTAAGTTCCTCTACAGAAAGAGCAAAACATAAAATGTAAAATTCATACATAAAAGACTTTTGTATCTTTCAAGGTATAAAAGAGCAAAATCATGGAAACAATAGCATTCAAATGCTACGTGTGTTGATTTTTAAATCCTGTGTCACTGTTTACCTTCTAGCTCTTCCAGATGTGAAGGAGTTCCTTGCGCCCTGGGCTGAACATAGGAGAGCTTAAACCTCGGTACTACAAACGGTACTTCTCTGCCATCAGATGGTAATTTGGAAAGTAAGTAATCCTCAGTACAGCCAACCTGGGGCTTGACGGAGATGGAAGTCAACGGAGGTACACGGACCGTGGTATCTTGACCCGCTGAGACTGCTGCTTTAAAGTCTCTTTCCATGAAAACTGTGTGTAAAAGAAGTAGGAAAAGAAAAGAAAAGAAAAATCACAAATATGAATGTAGACTTATATTTAATAATCTAAAGTTAGCATGCTTTGGTATGTACTTAATTGTTTTAGAACAAACTGCTGATGCAGAAACTACTACCTGCAGGTCCTATCAAGCACTTGATAGGAATCTGCATTAATTCTCCCAGCAATAACAAGTTTATTCTGTAATTAATTCTACAATGCTTTCTTTCAAGAAATCTTTCAAGAAAAGGCCAGTCACTTAAAAATATTGTCAACAAATCAATTCTTGTTGTCAGTACTGGTGGTAAACATCAGTCTCAAATATATAAAAGAATTCTAAAAAGAAGCTAAAGGCCTCCAAGTCTACAAAAACCTTCACCCAATCACAAGATAAAATGTCTTTCTACCCTAATATAATAGCTGGTCTCCCTGTGCTAGCTTCTGGGACCTCTTCTGTCCCTGTCTCAAATGCTATGTGATTCCTAAGCTGGTGACTTAAGACATGGATGCAAGGGACACCCAGAGCTCATCTTTATGTACAATTATCAAAGTACAAATACTGCTGCATAGGAATTTACCGAATGTTTTAATGCAAACAGAAGCCCTCGTACTCAGACATACGAGGGAGCTATACTCTAGATGGAGGAATACAAGGAAAAGCCAGAGAAAAGTAAAGTTCCGGTCATAACTCTGATGAGGTGAGGAGACCCTATGATTGAAAGGGAACTCCCCAGGAGGCTTTCAGAAACATGGATTCTTGAGGAGATGAAACGTCACTCACCTGTGAAAGGCATGTCTTAGTGCACTAAGACATGTTCATAAACTAGGAATTGTCTTTGTTCAAATGGAAACATTTGCCAGCATGTATTGCCCCCAACCACATGCAGCACCTCCCTCCCTGCCTCTGCCTGTACCACTTCATCCACCTAAATCCTCAGGTCTAGTGCTCACTTCTCTTACTTCCTTCTTCCCACCCCGCTGCTGACATACTCTGCAGATTCCCATACCAAGCACCATCCTCTTGTCAGTCGGTGGTGATGTCCCAGGTCTCTGCCTGGTTGAACCTTGAATTTCTCACTCTCCACCCCTGCCTTGCCCCAGGGTACTTTAATACTTACCTAGTGTGCCTCATATTTGTTTCTGTCTCCCCCGTGAAGTTACGGACTATGTCTGACTCACCTTTATATTATGAAATGCCACAGATAAAAAATACATTAATTGTTTGTTGAAGCCAAAAGAAGCCAAACTCACAATTGTGCTTTTCTGTTTCTCCATAGAAACATCCTCTACAGCAACTCTTTATAAATTCTGCTGCCATCACATCCAATTTCCAATACTCAGCAATTGATACAAACTTCCAATTTTAATATTAATCTGTTGGTAGAATAGAAAAGTTAACATGATCATGTTTAATAGCATTAGGTACCACTAAATTAATTCCATTATCTTTCTAAGATGTAATGAGGAAAACAAAGCAAAAAGGTTTAGAAGATGATGGTTTTTCATCTTACATGTAATTTTATATGACCTAATTAAGCGCCTTACAAGTCATTAAAACAACATGTTCAAAAATCACTAAATGAACAATCCCAACATTAAATTTGAAAAAAAAAAACTCCACCCTGAGTTTTCTTTTTTGCCAGGTATACCCAAATCAATGCCCAAGCAAACTTTGCAAGAAAATATGGCACTCCCAGGACATGTGAGAACAACTTCACTTCCTCCAAGTCAATTCTTTTGGTTATCCAAAAGATGATGGGGGATTATATGGGGCCAATAAACAACTGCATACTTTATAAGTTGGTTTAAAGTTTAGAATTGCGCTAATAGAAAAATATATCTTAAACACTGTATTACCCCCCCAACACACACACCCACAGACACCAGCTAACTAAACCACTTATAATATAAACTAGAAATAAAGGGAGTTAGATTTTTTTAAAAAAATTTATTTTTAAGTAATATCTGCCCCCACCATAGGGCTTGAATTTACAACCCCAAGATCGAGAATCACATGTTACACCAACTGAGCCAGTCAAGTGCCCTGAGAGTCTGCTGTAAATTTATCAGGCACATAAAATTGTGTAAGGACTTCATGTCCAGTTGCTCGCCTTGGCCTCAGTGACACAATTCCAAATGCACTCTCTTCACTTGTGCATTCTTAAACTCTACATTTTTCACAGGAAATTTCAAATGTATACAAAAGACAAAATGGGTATAAGAATATCCCTATCACCCAGACTAAACCGTTATCAATTCACAGCAAATCTTAATCCATCTCTGCCTCCCCACTTCTGTGGCTGAGATCTCTAAGTAACAAATCTCCTGACTTTACTTCCTTTGTGTGGGTGCACCGAAATGGCACCTTCAAGCAAATCAACCAGGGTGAGGTGGTGGCGGGCGCCTGGGTGGCTCAGTTGGTTAAACATCTGCCTTCAGCTCAGGTCACGATCCAGGGTCCTGGGGTTAACCCCCACGTACATTTTCCTCCCTCTTCTCCCTGTCAGTGCTCTCTCTCACTGCTATCTCTGTCGTTGTATCTGTCTCTCTCAAATAAATAAATCAAATCTTAAAAAAAAATTTTTGAAAAGAAGGCCCCATAAGTTTTTACTTCCCCAAAGTGGGAGCTCAGATGGTGAGGGAGCTACCTGCTAATCCCTATAGGAGGCTTGTTCCTCCCCATTCAGCAGGTCACAATCTGCATATTCTCAATGTAATACAGTAGCTTCAGCTTCCAAACACAGCCACCAAGAAGGTATTCGTCAAAATGCTGGACTTTGGCCCATCTGATGGGAAAGAAATGGTATCTTGTGTTGTTGTAATGTGCATCTCTTTTACTATGGGGTGGGCACCTTTTCATATAAGGTTAATCTGTATTTGGCTCTATGAACTCGCTGTTCATTATCTCTTGCCCATCTCTCTGTAAAGCTATTCATCTTTTTCTGCCTCAGTTTTAGAGGACTTTTATATATCGGAGAGATTAACACATTGTCAGTGATATAAGTGGCAAACATTCTTCCAGTTTGTCATTGTCTTTTTTTTTAAAGATTTTATTATTTATGAGAGAGAGAGGAAGAGAGAGAGAGAGGGAGAGACATGGGCAGAGGGAGAAGCAGGCTCTGTGCAGGGAGCCCGATGCGGGATGCGATCCCAGGACCCCGGGGTCACGCCCTGAGCCAAAGGCAGATGCTCAACAGCTGAGCCACCCAGGTGTTCCTTGTCATTGTCTTTTTATGGTATTTTCTACTGAGAGACAGAATGTGTGGGAATATACAAACATACATATACATATATATGGAAACAGATGAGTCTGGGGATGCCAGAGTAAATAAAAGAGTAAATAAAATCTTAAAAAAAAAAAGAAAGAAAGATGTAGTTAGTACAGTAGTTACAGATGTAGTTATACTTAATCTATGTTTCCCCTTTTTGCTTCTGAATTTGGAGTCATCAGAACGTTTTTCACATATGTAGGTCATAAAAGACTTCACCCAGTTTCTTCTAATACTTAGTGGTAACAGAGTTACCACCTTCTATATTAACAGCCTGGTGCACAGTATGAGAAGGAGATCCAATCCTACCTTCCCCAATTGGCTATTCTGGTATCACATACACCATTTATTTAAAATCCCATTATTTTCTCCTACGATTTTAGAATGTTGTCTTTATTACAGACTAAACTTCTACAATTGGGCTTATTTCTATATTTTCTATTTTCTTCAACTGGTCTGTTTATTCCTGTACCACATTTTTTTAAAATATTTTATTCATTTATTCATGAGAGACACACAGAGAGAGGCAGAGACACAGGCAGAGGGAGAAGCAGGCTCCATGCAGGGAGCCCAATGCAGGACTTGATCCCAAGACCCTCTATCCCTCCCCCCGCTCATGCTCTCTCAAATAAATAAATAAAATCTTTTAAAAATTTATACATTTTCAAAATCCCTTTTCAGCCCTAGTTTAAAGGACGTATTCCTTGACTACTCAGACCATACTAATTTCTCTCATTTGTAAACATCTAATAAACTTTAAAAAAAAAGAATTTTATATTTTTCTTGACATGTGTGACACTTGTTCTCTTTCCCCTTCTAGGATATAAACTTTTTAGAAAAAATATTATACTCACTTTCTACTTCACACTCAGCACCCTATATGATGCTGGGAATATAGCAGGAACTTAGCAAATATGTAGTTGACAGATAAGGGAACAAAGCAGAACAACGAGCTCATATAAAAACTCTTAAACTCATCAAACCACATTTCTGACCCCAGTCAGCCTGCAAATACTTTACATTCATCATGAAAGGACTGTGGGAGGACTGATTAAAAATGATTTCTACTGGGCAGCCCGGTTGCTCAGCGGTTTGGCATCGCCTTCGGCCCAGGGCATGTTCCTGGAGACCCAGGATCGGGTCCCACGTCGGGCTCCCTGCATGGAGCCTGCTTCTCCCTCTGCCTGTGTCTCTGCCTCTTTCTCTCTCTCCTCTCTGTGTATTCTCATGAATAAATAAATAAAATCTTTAAAAAAATGATTTCTACTTCTGGAGACAAGATCCTTAAACTTGATGGCCTTGAGTCATCCAAAATGAACTGGAGACTATGAGGGAGGAACGCAGCAAAGGAAACATGCTGATGTGAATAAGAATAAAGCAAATACAGTTTGCATGGTCGCCTAATAGAGGGCGGACAGGTGCACACAAAGAGAGCCACAGACATCAGCAGAGGGTCCCACTCCAGTATTCAGCAGAATACGGGTCAGAACATGCATGCAAGCAAATTGCATAAGTCTGGGCAAAGACGGCCAGAAAAGATTATGAAAGCCATACCAATACTCACCAAGGTTGGTAATAATGCCTGTCCCTACCAACCAAACTGGGGAAACCATACAGTTCACAGGATATTGGATAGGATTCTCAGGAGAGCCTTGCATTCTTGGTGAGGAAAAAATAGCCGTAAACTAAATGCTAGCCGCTTCTACCTAACAAATTTAAAAAGCAAGACTCAAAAGGATCAAACTATTTCCAAAAAGACTATGTCCCAAAGCAAAACACTTTTAGAAAAATCTAAATGATATCCAGCACACAAAATAAAATTCACAATATTTGGCATCCAATAAAAAATTACCAAATTTGCAAAAAAAAATAATGAGAAAAATCAATCAGTTCTAGGTTCCATTCAGAAATGACACAGACAGTTAAGGATATTAAAACAGTTCTGACTGAATCTATATGTTCAAAAAGGTAAGAACTGACATGAAACATACAAAAAAGTACCCAACTTCTAAAGACAAAAATTACAATACCTGAGTTGGAAAATACACTGGATGGGATTAAAAGCAGACTATATATTGCAACAGAAAAGATTAATATACTTGAAGGTATAGCTAAAGAAATTATTCAAAATGAAACAAAGAGCAAAAAAGAATAAAGACAAAATAAAAAGAGCATCTGTGACCCATAGGACAATTGTAAGCAGCCTAACTGAAGTCCATGAAAGACTGGGGAAGGCAGAAAAAATATTTGAAAAAATAAAATTCGACCTCTCAACACACACTAAACATAGGAAGTATGATGAAAACTATGCCAAGACACATCGTAATAACATGGTTCAAAGCCAGTGATAAAGAGGAAACCTCAAAAGCAACTGAAAAAAAAAAACCAACTTGTCTTTTATTTTCTTAAATATAACCCATCATAGTTATTTTTAATTTATTTATTTGAGGGGGAGTGGCAGGGGGATAGGGAGAGAAAACCCCAAGCAGACTCCCTGCTGAGGGTGGAGGGATCTCCCAACCCTGAGATCATGACCTGAGGCAAAATCAACAGTCAAAGGCTCAACTAACTGAGCCACTCAGGTGCCTCCATCATAGTTATTTTAATAATCTATGACTGGTAATTCCAATATGTAAGCTTTTGTAAGTTTACTTCTATCTTTTGTTTCTGCTGATTCTTGCTCGGGTTGTGCACTTGGTTTATCTTTGACAAATTATTCAGCGACCTTGAAACTTTATTTGTAGAACTTCTTTAACCCAAAGATGAAACTATACTCTCAGATAATATTTGCATTTGTTTACCATATCATTTTGTTTATTTATTTTTTTAAAGAACTCACAGCCCTGAGATCAAGACCTGAGCCAAAATCAAGTCAGATGCTTAACTGAGCCACCCAGAAGACCATTTTAAACTCATACCTTGACAAAGAACCTGATTTAAAAATGGGCAAAGGATGTGAATAGATATTTCTCCAAAGATAGATCAATGGCCTATAAACACATGAAAAAGTGCTTAACACCATCAGTTATTAGGGAAATGAAAATCAAAACCACAATAAGCTACTAATCCATGTACGCTTAGGATGGCTATAATCAAAACAATAGA